TGACGTGGGTCGCTCCACAACAACAGGCTGTCGCACCAAAAGAAGTGGGATAAAGACAAGCTGAGTTAGAGTATAATAAGCTACTTCAACAATGAGTGTTGACTGGCTGAAGAAGTTTGTGAACTATGGGAGGAGCTCTCTGATGAGAACAGGTAGGATCAAATGACCTGATGGAGTTGAATTCTGACAATGTTCATCTTCTTCTTTTCTTGTTTATCTTGTAATTGAACAATAATATTTCACACATGTTTCTATCACACATGCTCTGTCTTCATCTTTAGCTTCCCTTACCTTTCCCTTCATGTTAGATCTCTTTCTCTCTGCTGCTCATCGCTCTCTCTCAAAGTTTCTCTGTGTTTTTATTGTACTTTCTCTCTCTCCTCTTCTTCTTCTTCATCAATCCATCTGAACCCCCTCACCTCTCTTCTTCTGTTTTCTTCCCTCTGACCTCTCTTCTTTGAATTATACTTTAATAAGGTTGATTTTCATTGTTGACTCACTGGATTTTAAAGTCCTTTTTTTCCCAGTACATTTAAAAAGTGTCATCAAACATGAGTTGTAACAGTATTTAAGAGTAAATCCTGATAAAGAAACTCTAATCTGTCTTCCTGTTTGTCCTCCAGACCTCCCACAGTGTCTCTCCTCCAGAAGACTCCCTCCTCTCGAGTCACCTGCCACGCTACAGGTTTCTACCCCAACAGAGCCATGATGTTCTGGAGGAAAGATGGAGAGGAGCTTCACGAGGACGTGGACAAGGGAGAGATCCTCCCAACCACGACGGCTCCTTCCAGATCAGCGCTGACCTTCAACTGCCTCTGATGACTGGGGGAAGTACGACTGTGTGTTTCAGCTCTCTGGTGTGAAGGAGGACATCGTCACAAACTGGACACGAGAGCAAGACCAACTACGGTAAGACCTCGATGAGAAGTGATGAAGAGAGGATTTGACTGTAACAGTCGTGTGATGGAGGGAAAGTTTAGTTGTGACTTTTTCTTTCTTTCAAACTCTTCAAATTGTAAAAGTATTCAGAAAAAGAGTTTAAAGGTTTGGATCAGGATGAAACAAACACAAAGATCTTTAAAGAGATTATTAATGGACAGAATCGTTTTGTTTTTTACCGTCTGTCCGCTCGTTACCACAGTGCAGCGCATTAACCTTTAAATTACTTTAAATCAATAATATTGAGAAAAAAGGGTTTGAATGTAATCGTTAGCGGTTACCATTGTGCCACAATCAAACATGGAAATAAAAGACATAAAGGTGAAGGGAAAAACAACTACATGTAGAAAATGAATCAAAGGTACAGTGATGAAGACGAGCTAACTGACAGAAGGAGAAACTTTGTCTTTAATGAACCTTTAACCTGTTTGATCACAGGTTGTGTGACTGTGTGTTGTTTGTGTTCAACAGTGAATCCATCTCATGATCTTGTCATCATCGCTGTTGTTCTCCTTCTTGTAACCATCGTCTGTGTGGCTGGATTCTGCCTGTACAAGAAGAGAAATGGTGAGAGAGCAAAGTGGAAACATTCAACATGTTTTTTATATTTACATCTGGTGAATAGTTCTCTTGAGGGGACCTTAAATAACCTTCAATGAAATAAATCTAGAACAATCTTTTTTTTCTGTTTCAGCCAAACGCCCTCCATCCCGTAAGTAGAACTTGATTTTTTGTATTAAGTTTGACCTTAAATGAACTCTGTAAATGAAAAAGGGTTTCTGGAGTGTTTTCTGGTGTAAATGATGGTTTCAGAGTCGGATGTGTGCTAACATTGTGTTTCTGATCTTACAGCGGTAAACGACCCGGCTGTGCAACAAATGATGCTTCCAAATCAAAATACCTGAAAGACAAAGAGAGGACCCTGAACCCAGTGAGTTACATGAAATAAGCCTTTAATTCAGGATATAGTCATTGTTCTGGTGGTGTGTGTGGTAGTCAGGAAGACACTGCATGTAAACATTACTTCTGCTGCTGCGTCACCTGGACAGAGGCGGTAACCACAGCTACAGGCAGAGAGAAAGAGAGTCACAGGTGAATGGGGAAGAGGAATCAGGAATCAGAGGAAGACACACAGTTTTTAAACCGTGTGTGTGTGTGAACGTGTTTTTGAGTCCTGTCATGTTTATTATCATGTTTTCATATACGAGCTTATTCTTTTCTTTTTGGTTGTTCAGTAATTCTTTAAATCTGATTATAAAACTGCATAAAGGAGATCGTTTCTTTGTTATTGTAAAAAAGTTGATGACTCATTTTAGTGAAAAAGTGTATTTGAAGTGAAGGGAGATGATTTAAGAAAGGTGCTTCAATGATGAAATCACCGTGACCTTTGACCTTGATGTTAAAACCTGGATTTGTGGATAAATTCTGTAAAAAAGTGATGATAAATATTTTTAATGTCATGTTTTCTTTTCTTCTGTCTTTTTCTCTAAAGGTTTACGGGTACGTTCTGCACTGAAACAAGGAGCAGACGACACGCTCTCCTCAGAATTCATTGGCTCTCATCGTATCAGACATGAAGTGATCAGAGTTGGGAATTTAAATTTAAATCTTTGAAATACAAAGAAAACAGTTTGAAAAAGAGTTGACAAATGCTTTACAAATCTTGATATTTATTTTTTGTCACCTGGAGAGAAGAGAATCAGAAGATGAATCTATGACGGCATCACGCCGCTCTTCATGTGTTGAAGAAAGATTTGTGTGTTGATCTAAAATCCATCATAGTTGGATTTTTCTACTTCTGGTGTTCGAGCTTTGTGCTAAAACAAATGTTGGTGATAAATACGTTAATAAAGACACACACACACACACAACACACACACACACACACACACACAATAAAACATTAAACATTTTGTTTTCCAGTTGTGTAAATAGTTTCGCTTATTTATTTTTTAAGATTTCTTTTTGGCTTTTGGTACCTTTACTGTAGAGATAGGACAGAGGATAGAGTCTGAAATCAGGGAGAGAGAGAGAGCGGGGAATGACGTGCAGGAAAGGAGCCACAGGTCGGATTTGAACCTGGTCGCCCGCTTGTAGGACCATAGCCTCCATTCACCAGCTCCTCAGTACTGTTTATTTCTGCATAAGTAATGAAGTGTGTTGATTTAAACGAGGCTCAAGAGATTTATAATGTTTGTGTTTTAAGGTTTTTCATTAGTAATCAGGACTATGTTGTTTTTTCTTCTGTGATATTATTTTTATATTAAGTTTAAATGCTTCAGCTGATCACACATTGATGTGATGAAAAGAAAAGTTGTTAGTTTTATTTGAGTTAAGATCTTGAATGGTTGGTGGGATGTTGAATGTTTCTCTGTGAAGCTGTCTGTAAATATAGATTTAGTGTTTCAATAAAGCCCTTAAACATTCAAAGTGTGTGTCTTCTTGTGATTTCACATAAAGTGTCTGAATAAATGAGGAGCAGATTTCCAGATATGAAGACCTGTGTGTGTTTTCCATAAATGATAATAAAAGATATTGCTGCAGATTTTCTTTCAGTTTTTTCTGTTTGTTAAAAACTTGTTTTCCCTGCCAAACATTAAAAACATGTTGGTCTCTGATATGAAGCTCTGGTGTAAGTTCAGTCAGGAAGACTTTATATTTGCCTTCACGATCGGGTCTTTCTCTCATTCTTCCCTTTTTGCACGCTCGCTCACGTTTCCCCTGTTATTCTCCAGCTGTCATTGGATAATCAGCTGTCTCGTCAGCGGTACTCATCTAACCAATGGCATGGCGTTCCTCCTTCATTGTCAGCCTATCATCGTTCTGCTCTCTTTTAAATGTGATTCTTTCTCTGCCTTTAGTTCCTTCATGTTGATGTTTCGTGCGCCCTCCACCTCCCCATCACCGCCCGTTTTCACAGAATCATCATCCATCAACTCTTCACCCATCCGGTCTCATCATGTCCTCAGCTTCAGCACCACCAGGGTCTGGACTCCATCAGGGGATTTATTCTGTCAACTCAGAATTGTTATTCTTCAAACATCAATCACCCCCATAGAGTCCAAGCTCCAAAGTATTTCTGTCAAGTCACATTTCCATCTTATCCATTATAATAAATCATTTTTTTCTTAATTCACTCGTCTCTCCTGATTTAAATTCGACTACCTATCCAAAAATATCACTCCAGAGGCAGAGCACAACATCGACAGCTGTTCTTCAGAGATCTAATCAGCATCAAAATATCCTAAATATCTTCATCATCATTATCAAACAAATCATCATCAATAATATCATTAATGTGGTAGGTGGTCATAAAGAGCTGGGTCTTTAGCTTTTTCTTAAAGGTGCAGAGGGACTCTGCAGATCGAATGGAGTTTAGTTCCTTTCACCAGTAGGGGGCGACAGAGGAGAAGAGTCTAGTTAATGAACTAAAGCACAGAAACAGGAAGTGGTTGTGGATCATAAACTGATGTCAAAAGGCTCAAAGGAACGGTAACAAAGGTCAATGTGTGTTGTTGAAAAGGTTTTTTTTTTTTTTTTTTATGTCAGTGACCGGAAGTACTTTTACTCTGTGGGGCTCCGCCCTTTACATTTACAGTCTAGGGGGCTCTGGGGTTCACAAGTTTAGGGATTCATAATATTTACAGTCTATGATTCATACCAATCAGTCAGTCATCAGTGATCTGTCGATAAGCACAAGAGAGCACAGATGATGAGGAGTCCATTCTTTTGTTTTAACTGGTTTAACTGGTTTAACTGGTAAGAACTGGAAAAAGATTAACCAAGATAGATCAATCACAAACATTATCTAGTAATCTAAAAACTTCTCCAAATCTGCTGCTGAATTAACACAGAGAATAACTCATAAACTATTTAAGGGTAACTCACATATTTTGAAGAAAAGTAAAGAAAACTTTAAACGATATGATAAATTATATGATATTAAAGGTTCAATGAAAACAAATGGAGGTTATGTAATATATAAAAGGTCAAATAAAATAAATAGATGTAAAATAATATATAAAACCAAGTTTAACAATAAGAAAAGGTGTTTTGTCTTGACTCGACTTCAGTGCAGTAACGTCCTGTGGCCACATGAGGGCGGTGTTGTTTTAACGGCTCACTCAGCAACATTCAATCAACTGTAAAACTCATACAGAACAGCAAACGAGTGCTTCCGGTCAACGGTTTGTAAAAAGAGCTTTCTTCTAACTAACATGAATGTATAACGTTGATCTTTTTAACAACTTTAACAGAACAAATAAACTAACAAGATAACAATGAAACTTTACAAACTTTCGCTCTCCCAGTCACAAAAAAAAGAAATAAAACGATGTGTTCTGTTTGATTGTGTTGTTGTAGTTTTCTATGTGTCCACTAGAGGGAGCGCAGTGTCTCTAACAGTCTACGGTCAGTCCTCATGGACTTATGACTTGAGCTGAAGGTACTATAATCTTAATAGTTTAAATTAACTGAAAATGATCAATCAGACATAAAGTATATTTAATAATATAACAATATGTATTTGGTGTGAGCTGATATTCTAGTTATTTCATGTCATTACATAGTCAAAATATGTCCTTATGTCTTTTCAATTGGCACACACATTGTCTCTCTTCTTGTTTAATGTCATTATGTGGCTACAATAAAAAAAAGTCACTCAAATTATTCGTCAGTTAACTTGAACTGAACATTTAGCTGTAACGTGTCTTTCACTTAAAACCCAGAGACTAAACTCTGCTGTATTTTCCTGCACAACATGAGAGAACTGTGTGTCAACCACTCAACTGAGCCAAGTAGCCGACTGATTCTGTTGCTTAGTAACTTCTGACTTTGCCTCGTCTGATATTTCACTGTGTTAATCCTAAAAAGGATTTCATTGCAAGAAAGCAAGTTAAAATCTTACTGCAGGAATGTGAGACAAAGTGAACTGACAATGTGACACATATTTGCAGTGTATATAACGCACACTGCACTCCTTGTGCTGGACTTGTTAAAGTACAATCTATAAATAACAAAACAAAAACATCCTGTCAGTCAGTGAAGAGATGAACATGTCTCAGTTTATTTATGTACAGAAATTCAGATGAAAAGAAGGAGTCAAGTACAGAGGCATTTATATTTCTGAGAACTTCAGAAAAATAAGACTGACAACTCTAAGTATGTTTGTTTAAAAAAACAGAAACTGACAGAAACATTTTTGAAGAACAGAAAAAGCTGCTCTAAAAGTTAAAGAAAAACAAAATCCTGCTCCAAGATTGAGCCTGTAAAATATGTTCCTGACAGTTACTGTTAGGTGGGGGTTATTTCTGTAGTAGATGGACAATTATGAAAACGTGAAACAGACTGTGGATCATCTTAGATTTATTCAGCCATGGTCAGACAACACAGAAACACAACACACATGGCTGACAAAGTGCAGACCATCGCTGACCACGCTGACCAAGATCTCACAATCATTGACAATCATTGGCAAAATGGCAAAATGGACCAAAGTCTTCATCACACAGTGTGGCTTATATTCTGCTAGAAGGTACAGCCAACAAATTCTTTCCATTTGGGTGCATCACTATAAAATAAAGATGACATGACACTGATTTGTATACGTATCAGATGTAGACTCTCTGTCTACCAAACAGTTGTTGACAACATAGTTGGCTCCTATCCAAACAGATCTGCTACAATTTACATGTTTCATCATATAAGGTTACAGCTTCACAGACCAAAAGTAGAATTACTGTGAGATGGTTGACAGAATTTAAAGATATGTCCACAAAATTATCAAGATGAATGAATCCATGAAAATACGTACTAACAGTTCCCGTTTTTAATATTTAGCTTTATTTTTCTTTAAAGGGAGAAAAGTTTGAACATGATTTTAATTTCTCTTTGAGGTGTTTACCAATTACCTTCTTTAAGTACATGGCCTCTGAGTTTCACCCATGATAGACAATAACATCGTTTTAACACTGTCCACATAACATCAAAATGTTTTAGGAGTGGTTAGAAAACATATGTAAAGATCACAGGTCACATACAAGATACCAAAACTTAACAGAAAAGGTAGAAAACCTTTAATGTTCTATTTGGGAACTCAGATCATGTTCAGTGTCAAAGAATGAAATCTAAAGATAATCAGTGGTGAATTTACAGAACATTTGAAAACAAGATGTTTAAATCATCAAAACTTAATGTATTTATGATATCTAAAACATTCTTTAAATCAAACAAAATCAAATACTTTATATCATCACTTTTTAATTCATCTTATTTTTATGTTTTTTATTTTTTTATTTTTTTATTACAACAATAGATCAAATATTTAAGCAGATATGTATTTTAGAAAGATAATCAATAGAAAGGAAGCAATGACTTCAGGGTGCTCCGAAATAACAAAATCTCTGCTAACTAGAAATGAAAGAAATCTCACCTGATGTTTAAAATAAACACAAATCTGACCTTCCTGTCTACCAAAAAACAGGAGGAAAAATGTTTGATTCAAACAAAAAAAATTGAGAAAGCTTTAAGATTCTATGGAAAAATGTGGTAGTACTTATACCGTCTAGGCCAGGCATGTGCAAACTGTGGCCCGCGGGCCATATACGGCCCGTTGGGCTTTTTAATCCG